CGCCCCCCCCCTGCCACAACCCTGTCCTGCGGCACAGGGGGCCGGGTCCTGCAGCTCCCCGTGGTCCGGGAGGAGGATGCTGGCAGGTACACATGCGAGGCAGCCAATGACGTGGGAGAGGACCGGATGCACTACGAGCTGGAGGTGCTGAGTGAGTATGGGGGAAGTGGAGCATCATGCGTGGCAGGAGTGATGGGTGGTGTGTGGGGCAGTGGGGCTGGGCAGGAGCCCCATAACCCCCTGCTTCTCACCACCCTGGTCCAGCCACCCCTGTCATCCATGGGAGCATGGAGGACCTGGTTGAGGAGGTGACCACCACCGTCAACAGCACCGTCCGCTTGAAGTGCGAAGTCATCGGGAACCCAGCACCCGTAGTTTCCTGGCTCTGGAATGATGCCCCTATTGTGGCTGGCCCACGGCACCAGCTCCTGGAGGATGGCGAGGTCCTGCAGGTCTGCATCCCCCTGGGCTGCGGGGTACAGGAGATGCTGGGTAGAGAGATGGAGCACCTTCCCCTTATGCAGAGTGCCAATTCCCCAGGGGAGCCCCAGCAGCTCCCCAATTTGGAGGGAGTCCCTGTGAGCCTCAGCAGGGCTCTGGACCCCCTTTGCAGGTGGTGGCGGTGGAGGCGAGCGATGCGGGCAGTTACACGTGCGTGGCTGAAAACCCAGCTGGTTCTGCTGAGAAGCACTTTACCCTCACCGTGCAGGGTAAGTCCTCCCAGCCAGCCCTTCTCTGGGTCACTGCTTCATTTCCCTGCCTTCACTGCCAGCCAAGTCCTCCAGCAGGCCCTCACCAGAGCCATCACAGAGCTCATGTGGCTCCCGATCTGCTTGGCTGCCTTCATCCCACTGCACTTCCCACCTTTCCTCTGTATGCTGTGTGAGGAGGCCAAGGCGCAGGAGGCCTGAAAGCAAGCTTGGCCACAGGCGGCTGGAGAGCTGAGGCTGCACCACTTGAGACTGGGAAGGTGCCTGCAGGTTTATTTAGGTGCATTGCTCCAGAGGGCAGAACAAGTTCTGCTTGCAACCACGTGCCTGCAGCTGCCCTCGGGAGCCCAGCAGCAGTGTGTGCTGGGGTCCCACTGCATGAGGCTCTCAGTGCTTGTTTCTTCCTCATGTTGTTTTGGCAGGAGCCCGTGGGCCGTCTCTGCTTTTTAAAGCCCTGCTCCGTGTCCCCAGCTCTCAGGGTGCCTGGGGAGCATAGATTGGGGCTTACTTGGTGTTCATGTGTGGATGCCTGCCTTCTTGGGTGACTTCTGAAGAAGGCAGGGGCCACATGTTTGCTTTTCCAGCAGCGACGGTGAGCTGAGAGCCAGTGCTTTCTGCTGAGGCTGCCTAGCAGCTGGGTTCCTCTTTCTGCCCATGCTCTGCTTGCTCTCAGATACTTTTCCAGCATCCAAGCTGCCCTATTATATCCCAGTTCTCCTTCTCACTGCAGACGGGCTGCAGAGGCCTGTGCCTTGTGCTTGCATGTGCTGCCTCGGGAAGCGAGCGCTCAGCCTCAGCAGTGACAGTTGCCCTTTGCAATTATCTTTTTGGGGTGGGCCGGAGCAGAACCACCTCGGATCACGGGCGCAAACCCCGAAACTGTTGACGGCATTGTCGATGGCAGCGTATCGCTGGTGTGCGATGTCCAATCCCACCCAGATGCAGATATTGTGTGGTACAAGGACGGCCGCGTCCTGCAGCTTGGTGAGGAAGTGTTCGTCACCCCAGGTACGTCCAGACGAGTTCCCCAGGGCCCAGCATGGCCCCCTGGCCCCCTAACCAGCCCCTACTGGATGCTGCACGTGGGACTCCCGAGCTAAGACTTTCAGCTGTAACCACGTGCTAACAACTTGCTGCAGAGCGATCTTCCTCTCCCAGGAGGTCGCATCCTGCAAACTCTGACCTGACGCTCCCCAGGAGCTCTGCACCTTCTGCTGCTGTGTATGCTGAGGCCTCGAACCTCGAAGAGAGACTTTGGCTCCCGGGTGCCTGTTGCATGGAGCTGGTGCCGGCTGGCTGGGGACGCACCAGCTCGTGAGCTCAGTGTCTCGGACTCACGCCTGACTCCAGCCCTCCCTTGACTTGCTGCTCTTCACTTCTTCCAGGCTCGCACATCCTGCAGATCCCCCGCGCGCAGCTTTCTAGCACGGGCATATACATGTGCGTGGCTCTGAACGCAGCCGGCAGAGACGAGAAGCTCTTCATCCTCACTGTCCACGGTAAGCAGTGGGTGCTCGGCCTGCAGATCTGCCCACGCAGGTGCTGACGTCTCCCCTGCCTGCTCCATCTCCTACCAATCGGCTCCAAAGGACCTGATGGCAACCATTGGCCATGGGTCCCTGTGGAGGTTATCCTCTTGCCCCTGAAGCAGCAGGACCCCTGCCCTTGTGTCTGCCTCCCTCCAGCTCCGCCGGCAGAGCCTCAGGCCCCGGCAGGCCAGCGGCCAGCCGGGATGGTGCGAGCCGGGGACACAGCTGTCCTGCACTGTGATTTGGAGGAACAGCCGGGATCTGCGGTCACCTGGTACAGAGATGGGCAGGAGTTGGCAGCGGGGGACAACGGCCGCATCCTACTGAAAGGCTGGTGGCTGGAGATTGAAAACACTCAGGTAAAGCTGCATCGAGAAAGCTGTCCTGCTTCCTCTGCCCGTGCCGGGTCTAACAGAGTCCCCTTCCCTCTGCCAGGCCTCGGATGAAGGGCTCTATGGCTGCCGGGTGGCCGGCGCTGTGGGAGAGGCAGCGCAGACCCTCATGCTCACTGTCCCAACCACCCTGGTTTGTCATTTTAAAATCTAGTCCAAACTATATATATATGTATATATATATGTGTGTGTGTGTATGTATATGTGTGTGTTTATGTGTATATATATATGTATTTATTTATTTACATGTATATATATACACACACACATATGTACTTTTCCAAAAAAACCCTGAATTTCCAAACCCAGGAATACTTTTCCTTTGGGAAAACCATTGCAGATAGCTCACAACCCACCCTATGCTGGGACTCTTGCTCCTGAGATGTTGCTGGTGTGCGGGGATGGTGATGCTCCTGCTGTGCAGAGAGCTGGGACGCTGCTGAATGCACAGCTGAGGGTGGGATCCTGCATCCCAGGGCAGCAGGGTGCACGCACTGCACTCGCCGATCCCAGCGCCTGTTCTCACTCCTTCCCCCAGTGCCCCCGAGCATCGAGGACCCGCAGCAGGAGACACTCGCTGCAGCCATGGGAAGCCCCCTCGTCCTGACCTGCGAAGTCACCGGCGTGCCTGTGCCAGCCGTCACCTGGCTGAAGGACGGGCGGCCATTGGGTATGAGCTGGGGAGACTCCGTGCCAGGCTGCAGTCTTGTGCCACAGACCAGCATGAAGTCATCCTGCCTCAGTTTCCCCATTTCTAATTGAGCTGCAAGAGAAAGGCGGGGCATTGCAGGGCTCTGGAGGGGAGAAGGGAGAGCACAGATGGGCTGGCATTTCTCCTAACTGCTTTTAAGTGGCCTCAGATTTGTTCATGAGGCCGAAGCAGGAGATGTGGGCACGGGACGTGATACGGGGATGCAGTGTTGAGCTCTCTGGGTACCAGCCATTAGGTTATACCCTGGCATTGGCATCTGCCCCCAAACTGGTGGCTTGTCCCCTTCTCCAGAAAGGTGCAGTGCAGATATCCTGCTTCTGCTCTAACCCGGTCCTCACGGCTGGGTCCTGGGGCTGGGAGTCAGGGGGGAGCCCCAAGGAGCGGGGAGCTGCTGCAGCCCCTGTCCTTTTCACCCCATCTCCTTGCAGAGAGCAGCCCGGAGCGGGGCCTGGTGTCCCGGGGCACCCAGCTCCAGATCAGCCCCTTGCAGCCCTTCCACGAGGGCCGCTACACGTGCCTGGCACGGGGCGCCGACGCCGAGGTGCGCAAGGATTTCCTGGTGCTGGTGCGAGGTAGGGCTTTGCCTGGCCGGCATGGTGGCAAGCGTTTCCCAAAGGACCCTCCATTGGTGGGGTGCACGGACCGGGGAGCCTTCCTCCTCCTCCTCAGCCTCGCTCTCTTCTCGGCGCAGTGGCACCCAGGATCACGAGCGCGGGGGTCCCCAGCGAGCACAGCGTGCTGGAGGGCAGCGAGGTGACGCTGGAGTGCCAGGCAGAGGGGCAGCCTGCCCCGGAGATCACTTGGCTGAAGGACGGGCAGCCCCTGGGGCTGCAGCCCCCGTCGCGTGGCCGGTGAGTCCCTGCGGGGTGGCAGGCGACAGCCTGGCTGGGGACCACACCAAAGCCTGGTGACGGCATGGCTAGCTGAGCTGTACACGGGGGACACCACTACGGCTGCGGCCAGGCTAAATCAGTCCCAACTGTGCCTCAGTTTCCCCACCTGTAAACTAGTGTTGCAACGTGTGCCGTGCTCCGCTGCTTCTCCACCCTCGCAGTGCTTGGGCTGGGACTAGCATGTCCCGACTGTTTGCTGAGCTGGACCATCCCGGGCTACATCCTGGGGTCCCCAACCGTGCCATAACTTGGCTTGATGGCTCTTAGCGCAGCAGCCTGCGTGCATGGGACCTGCTGGGGTGACTGCAGAGCATCTCTGTCCCCAAGCCTGGGACACCCGTGGGTGGTCACTGCCCTGGACTCCCCCATGCAGGCTGGCTCTGGGCTGCAGCTCTCTGCTCCTCGAGGGGCTCCAGGCCGCCGACGCGGGGGCGTACACCTGCCTGGCCCAAAACAGCGCCGGCGAAGACACCCGGCTGCACACGCTGAGCGTGCTGGGTGAGCGAGGCCGGGGCACGCGGGGGCAGCGCTGCCGGCCGCCTGCCCTGCTTCAGCCCCGTCACCCCCTCTCCTCCCCTCGCCCAGTTCCCCCGTCCATCGAGAGCGGCGCTGGCGATGCAGAGGCGGTCCGCGGCGCCCTCCCCGGG